AGTAATATTTATATTTATCTATAATATCCTAGAAAAAGAAATACTCTAGTAAAAGATAAAAAAAAAAAAGACTTTTTGAAATTTGATGATTAATTAAGATAAATATATAATGATAAGATTGAAATAAAAATATATTTATCAACCTTAAAATTGAAAAAATAACAATTAATTTAAAATAAACTCAAAGTAAAATAATAATAATAATTATTTTGAAACAAATAGAGTATTAGCAGAGAAGTATATTAAGTAATAAATTGAAGATCTCCGTATTTCAATTTTAAAATAGATGGAAAGGTATTAAGGGAATGAAAGGGTGTTCTTTTATTATATAACTTATCATTTGATATATTAAAAAATAAAAATAAAAAATTAAATAGATATTATTGTAGGAAAAAAGAGTAATTATAACCATATAGCATTAAGTGATAAATTTAATGTTTAAAAGTTACTATTTTTAACAACAATCATATATTTATAATATCATATAATATTATAAACTTATAATCATATACGTCATTGAATAAATTAATATATTATATACAAAGAATTATTATTTTTTATTTTGATGGATTGATCAGATCAAATGTGAATCCAAGGTTCGTTTTTAATTTTAACAATCTTAATTTAATTGGTTTCATTATTTTTAATCAAAATATATGTGGAACCATTATAAATTTTTATGTTCAATCTTCTTCTTTTCTTGAATTTTAATCTTTATATTTTAATGCATTCCATGTGTCGTGATCCAGTTACCACTTGCTGTCAAAGGGCAGCTCGTGGTTTGCATTCTCAAGTCTCGAGTTTAATACCTCCCACTAACACTTCTAACGTATTAATCTCTAACTATTGCCCTTATCAAAGGAAATCCCTATATTTTAATTTTTTTTTTATTTTTTTTTTAATATAAGGGAATTGATTTGGAAAGGGGAAGTAAGCCCTAGATATAGAATTCAAGACATGATATCTTAACCCACACACATTCAAGCAAGTGGTTATTAAGCCATCACGGGCTGGACCTATATTTTAATTTATTTATTTACAGTTGTTTGTAACTAATTATGAGCAATGCTAGGAACACTCGCCATTTGCACTCTCCAACGAACACTTCTATTTTCATTGGGCCACGTTATGCTGGTTTGGAGAGGTAAATCCATCCATGCTGAAGCAAGCTTACGTGCCATAACAAAGAAGCATGTGTTGGCTGGAGAGTGCAGGAGGCGAGTGGCCATAGCACCGCTCACTAATCATTATTTTCATTAAAAATTACACAAGATTTTGAAAACACAGTTCAACCGCCTCTTTTAGGTTACATCACTGGCGCCATCAAGAATTAACATTTAGTTGTTTTTAATTGTCCTATATTAATTGTTATTTTTTTATATTAAATTTACCCAA